CTGTGGTATTAGGCCTAATGCAACGGCCATGTACCGTGGCATCTGCTGGCGTTGCAATAGGTCTAATGCAACGACATATGACACTTAATGCCACGGCATCAATGATCCGTGGCGTTAGATCAATACCTATTGCAACGGCAACATTATTGCTGTGGCAATAGCTATAATACCTAATGCCATGGTTTCATATACCTAATGCCACGGTGCATATACCCTATTGCCACGGTTCACTATACCTAATGTCACACAATGCATATACCCTAATGCCACGGTTCACTATACCTAATGCCAATAATAATAATAATAATAATAATAATTATAATAATAATAATAATAATAATAATGCCAATAATAATAATAATAATAATAATAATAATAATAATAATATTAATAATAATAATAATAATAATACAATTAATATAAGAATTTTTTTTAAAAAAATTAGAATTTTATTAATATGAATTCAAAGTTTGTACATTGTTACCTATAAGGAAAATTACAAAATTCAATTAGAATTTTATTAATAAGCATTCAAAGTCTTTGCTTGCTTCTGCTTTGCAGCTCTGTGTGTGCAAGCTGCTGTTGGGGCTGTTCTGGTTTTGTCCAACCTGTTTCTGGTTGCAGGTGCTGCCACTGGTGTACTGGTGCTGGCTGTTGATGCTGGATTCTGTTGCTGTGGCATTGCTGGTCTTCAGCTAGTCAGCTGCAAATAATTAATCCATGATTACACATTATATAGAGGTGAAGTGAATTCAGTCCAAGCAAATACTCAGAAACAGAATGAGTGAATGCATTCGATGTCAGGTAATTCACTGTGGATCAATTATTTACTCTGTATTTTCCTCTCTTCTATAAATACGACTATTTTTTTCAATTTTATTTATTCGAGCTATATATTGAGTCATATTAGGAAAACACAATAAACTTAACTTAACCCTATTCAGTGTGTTTATTTTACATGAAAACACAATAAACTTAACTTCAGCAATGCGTGATTACAACTGCAATGCAACCAAAAATGCAAAAACCAAACTCAAGCACTGTCACTTAAATGCAACACAGTACAAATGCCAAAACCAAGCTCAAGCACGATTACAGGTTTATATACAGATAGCTAATGAATATTAGAAAAAGAAAAGCATACAAGCTGATTGTAAATCTTCTGATCTGACTGCAAGTGATTGAATAGCTTGCCACTATAATCTTAGCATCAAGTTCATCCTGTCACATTAACCATATAATAGTTAGGATACACTCTACACAGGACATTATGATACTATATTCTTACGTCATAGTTGTTCAAGAGATCCCACTACACCCATCTCACTCAGTTGAATGCATTGTAGCAAGTTTCTCATGGTTATAGGATTAGTTTTGCTTGTTTCCATCAACTTAAACAGGCCTGACAAAAAACCCATCTCAATCATCCAACGAAGTGCTATGTGTCCATTTTTTTAAAAAAAAAGGGCAAATGCATGATATAATACAAAAGAAGCAAATTGTGGGAGTATGTACACTGGCCAAAAACTACCCATCAGACAAAAAGCTCAGCATTCAGCAACAAACAATATCCAATGAACACTTGATGAATTACAATTCATCACCTAATACAAAACAAAATTGAAATACCCCTTACGTCCTTACCTAGTCATCCCCAGAAAGGAAGAAACACTCAAGAACAAAGCTTGAATGCTTGAAGCTTGACAATCCAGTACAATCTATCTTATATTCTCAGTAGTCAGTACATAAATCTACAAAATTAACACCACGAAACCAGCTGAACATTCCACCCAGCATACATACCAGTAGTTGATAGCAAATTCAGAACCACACATTTCTCACTTATCTTGACAATTCACGTCTTTTTCCTAAGGCAAATATGGGTACTCTAAAACACAATAACCATGCTTTACATTCACATTATCACCCCCAACTCGACACCACGAAAAAAGCTGTAATTCAAGTATTCGTATTCCACCCATCAATCATAGTTGAGAGCACTCTAGTAAAACAAATTTCTTACCTTTCCAATAAACAACATAAATCAATAATCCCAAATTACAACACTGTGGCGCCACCCCCACCGTACAATCCAGCTTCTGGCTTTTATCTTTGGTACACCTACTTGACTATTATTTATCAGTGGTACACCCAAGGTTTCATACAGTTATCAGCGGTACACCTACCGTGCCCTTTCCGTAAAAAAAAACGTTAGTTTTGGCTTTTTTCCGATTTTTTTTATCAGTGGTACACCCAAGGTTTCACATAGTTATCAGCGATACACCTACTGTACTCTTTTCGTTAAAAAACGTTAGTTTTGGCTTTTTTTTCGATTTTTTAACTTAAAAAAAATCAATTAACTATTTTTAAATTATTTCTCAAAAAAAAAAAAAAAAACCTTCTTTCTCCCTCATCTCCCTTCCATGGCCTTCCTCCGACCCCTTCCACCACCTAGGCCAACAACACTGTGGCGCCACCCCCACTGTACCACCACCAACACCACCACCACCACCACAAACCTCAAAGCCCCCACAACTTGACAACCAACATATAACTCGACCCCCCAACCATGACCCTACAATCAGACCCCAAAACAATCAGATTCCCCTCCCCCCCTTTCACCTCCCATTTCCTTTCGTTGTGGTGCTTTGGATTGGTGGTCCGTAGGTGGATTGGTGGTCCGTAGGGAAGAGGAGGTTGTGCCGGAAAAGGGATGGGGAAAAGGGGTTGCAAAAGGGATCGCTGGCAGGAGGGTTGCCGGCGGGGTGATTAAGGGAGGGCGTCACCGGCGGGATAGGGGTCGAGCGCCGAGAAAGAGAAGGGATGTGTGCATGGAGGGAAGTGGGTGGCTGAAGGCCGTGAAGAGGGAGGGCTTGTTTTTTTTTTTTTTTAATAATAATAATAATAAATAGGAAAAATTAATCTAACTTTTTTAAAAAATTTATTTTATTTTATTTTTATTTTTATTTTTTTGGACCAATCACAGGCGTCACGTGTCAGTTTTTTAAGTTAAAAAATCGAAACAAAACCAAAACTAACGTTTTTTTAACGGAAAGGGTACGGTAGGTGTACCACTGATAACTGTGTGAAACCTTGGGTGTACCACTAATAAACAAATCGAAAAAAAAAGCCAAAACTAACGTTTTTTTAACGAAAAGGGTATGACAAGTGTACCGCTGATAACTGTGTGAAACCTTGGGTTTACCACTGATAAACAATAGTCAAGTAGGTGTACCAAAGATAAAAGCCAGAGCTGGAGTGTACCAGTGATAATTACCTCTTTTTTTTTATTTCTTTTTTTTTTTTTCCTTTTTCTAAATGGTACATTCTACTCTACTACTCCCTCCGCCCCTTTTTATAGTTTCCATTTGGAATCTTAACGCTATTCATAATGTGAGAGAATATTCTAAATTACTCTTAATATATAAGACATAACATAGTCATGTTGGGTCTTTTTTAATTCTCTCGATGAATAGATTATTAATATTCAATTGTTATTTTTTTTACTAATAAGCAACTAACGATATTTATGGTCAAAGTATTGCATTGGCAAACGTGCAAATCCAAGTGGGAACTATAAAAAAGGGCGGAGCGAGTATATATTTTGTGTTTTTGAATTGCTTTTGATTATTTTTTCTATTCTTTTAAGTATAACTGATTTGATTTTTTTTTTTTTTTTTTGTTTTTTTTTTTTTAAATTGGTGATTTTGTGTCAGTTGTAGGTGAAAATTTAACATTCAACAATGGAACAATATATATTGAAGGGTAGCAATAGATTTATCGAATTTGTACAATTGTAACAATCTTACAAGTTTTAGATTATTAATCATATACAAATGTTTTTTATTACATTCTTTGTTAGTCCTTTATTGATAGAGGGTTTGCTTGATGCAATATGTATGTATTTTAAAATGTTACATATGATATGATGCAATATAACTTTTTTTTTTTTTTTTCTTTTTGGAGGATTCAATACAACTGTTTTTAATTAAGAATATAATGCAATATATTTATGTAGTATATCAATTTTAAACTTTAATGCAATTTATATTTACTTATATTTTTATTTAAATTAAAAATTAGAGCAATCCAAATAGACTATAAAATAATTCTTTAATAACGAGAAAAAAAAAAAAAAAACATTTTATCAACAAGTTTGACCCGTGCATTGCACGGGCTAAATACTAGTTTAATTAATACAAGAACAAGAAATAAATAATATAAGTATTACTACGACCAAAAGGCGTGTAAACAATCTATAATCAACTTTTGATTTATTCCTATGAAGGGGGTGTTTTGTATTAATATTGAAAACAGAGTGGAAAGAAAACAATTAACTATTATCTTTTCATTTGTTTGGTCTCCGATGTCTTTAATGACATTTTTTGCACCAAAGTTAATACTTTGTGATATAAAGTGCACCCGATCTAGGTGGTGCTATTCTTTGCACCCAATCCATAGTTGGTGCTATGAGGCCAATTTCCCTTCTTTTTAATTTGTTTGAGAAGGGTGTGAAAAATTGTTACCTTAGATAATAGAGAGGTAACTAATAACACATAGGTGGGAACCATTACCCTTAGGTACTGGTAATTGACTAATTGTTACCCAAACCATCTAACCAAACACTTAGTAATGATAATAGTTTGATTGAATCTGTTTCCAACCCAAAAAACACTATTAGCAAACATGCTCTAAGACTACTCTAAGTTAGTTGGAATGAAGGCCTTCAATGAAAAATGGATTCGTTGTGTAGATTATCCTTTCATACAGGTTCACCTTTGATAGTCTAGACCGAGTTACAATTTATGGAAATTCTAAGAAAGTCTGTCTGCTGTTGAAGTTAGAAGGAACTTCATTCTGTTTCAGAATTCAGAATTGAGTTCGCCGAGGATCACAAATGTGTCCTAAGATCCTTATAGGTTTTGTTGCATTGTAGTGAAAATCGTGGAATAAATCCCTAAAAGGTTGTCTTCAATTCATATATATAAGTTAGCGCATGATACGAATAACAAAAAGTCGTGTAATTAAAGGAAAATCGAATAACAAATATAAAAAGAGAGGATTGTTTTCTCTTGAGAGTTAACCCTAGTGCAAGAAATATGAGAATAGGAAATACTACCTCCATTTCTTATTATATACAACAAAGAGGTATAATTTGTGAGACATAAAATATTGTTTTGTTGTACAGAATAAAAAACGGAGGTATTATTGATAATTGATTTAAATATTACATCAATCAAAAGACATTGTTAAATAACTTGGCATACTCTTTTTATTCGTTTTGAGAATCAAGGCGGATACGGAGGCCATCAACGAATACTGGATCTGGTGTATAGAGTATCCTTTCATTAGGGTTAACTTTTGATAGTCGAAATCGGATTACTACATTATGCAAAAAAACAAGGATCTTCATTCGAGCATATTGATTTCCACAACACATACGAGGACCTGATCCAAAAGGTACATAAACACCACGAGCGTGATTCTCTTCAAATCGTGATGGGTTAAATCTTTCTGGTTCTGGAAAATATATTGGATCCATGTGTGTTGAATAAGCAGACCAGTGAACCTAGAATTATTTTTCATAACATAGAAAATCAAGAGATTCAATAAATAATTGTACTAGACCATAACATGTTCATTATTAATACAAGTATACTTTTTCTTCCATTATCTATCTTTAGTGCAACACACCCTCTTCTCACTCTATTTGAGAAAGTGATTAAACAGTGTAAACTGCCAGATTGAGCATGTAAGATATGTTATATCCGTGCTTTGACAATTTGACTAAATGAAGACTACTTTCTTATGTTGAACATGATCTTATCTTGTAAGTACATTTTACTCTAGACAATTTGACTTAATTGTTATGTAGACTGCTTTCCTATGATGAACATGATTTAGATATGTCTAATTTGAGTAGTGTTTTGTCTTCATTTTATCAGTATGTTATAGTTTTGAATCATTATAGTTTTAATTGCTTATTTTAATTTGTCATTATATAATTCAGTATATTATAGTTTTGACAGTACAATATAACTTCATTAACGCGATGAAGAATTGAAGACTACAATCTTATTCTACTTTCCTATGTTAAAAAATGTGATTTAAGGTTTATTTCCTAACATGTTTAATTTAAGGACTTTTTATCATAAACTACCTAAAAAAACCCAAATTTTGTGTGAAAGTACCTAATAAAAAACGTTGTAAGTAACTACCTAATAAAAGGAAAAATGTTGTAAAACACTGCCTTTGGCCGGATTTCCATCACTATTGACCTTAATTATTTTTCGGCATTGGCCCACCTCAAAACACCCCTGAAACTACCATCTCGTAGTCCGAAACTACCCCCAACCATCCAAAAATAGCCTTATCACCTTGAAAACCAACCTTCACGGTGGTTTTGGGATATTTTGAGGTGGATCATCGCCAAAAAATTAGGTCAATGGTAGAATATCGGCTAGAGGTAGGATTTTACAACATTTTTACTTTAATAAGTAGTTTCTAACAACATTTTTTTATTAGGTAGTTTCTCATAAAATTTGTGTTTTATTAGGTAGTTTTTGACAAAAAGTCCTTAATTTAATTGAAGTATTTTGGGGAATTATGATCATCAATCAAAACTAAGTATTTTATTCAAAACTATAATTTACGGACAAAATAAAAACAAAACCAAATAAATACGGTTAACGTGACACATGGGCTCGTATGGACCGTCCTATGTCTATCTTTATGTAGCTGTAGTTAGTAAATTATGTAGATCCATTAGATGAGTGGGCACATAATGTAATATGAGCTCCACAAAATTGTGACCACAAAATACAGAGTATACACGCACCAACAATGCTGACCAATTTAAGGATGAGATTACATTCACAAAGATCAACTAACAATACTCTTTGATCTTTAATCTAATGGGTCAGGGCCTCATGGGTTAACAAAAATGGGGTGTGCTCTTAAATAATTGAATTAAGCTATCAATTAAAAGAGAAATTCACAGTGTTTATCTTGGAAAAAAATTTAATGGCTAATTACACATTGCATGCATACGCAGATACATAATACTCTGTAACTATTTTTTTTTTGAAAAATTTGTAAATGTCCTTTTATGTAAACCTTTTTGTTTGAAAGGTCCTTTTATGAAAAAGGTAGCACAAAAGGTCCTTTTATCGTGTTTGGGTTGTGGCAAGGGTCCTTTGATCGTTTTTCAAAATTGACTTTTTTTTTTCCAGGCAAATAAAGTCACATGCGTTGCACGTGACCACTCAAGTTCCTTTTTTTTCTTTCTATTTTTCCCTCTTTTCCCCCGTTTTCCCCCATTTTCCCCTATTAAACCCGAATTTCTCAATACAATTAAACCTAAACTTCAATTGCAATCCATTAAAATTGAAGGCAATTTAAGGCTAATTGATGAAGGTAAGGTGAAAACCCTTACCTATTGAAGAAAGTGTCGTTAATCCACTACCGTAAATTATTTAAATTAATTGAATGAAGATTAAAATTTAATATTACTTTCTTATGTGGAAATTAATTTAATAATTTTCCTTTTTTATGTTGAATTTGATATAAAGATTTCGGTGAATCATGATATGATTGATTGTGAAAAGTGTCTTTTTTAATTTAAAGACTTGGCAAGTGATGTGGCATTATGACTTTATGAGAGGATGGGAAAATCTTTCATTCACTCTCCTTTCATAGTAACCGTACAATTATATAAGGTAACGTACACTATATAAAAAAAATCAGTTAAACAAAAAAGAACAGAGGAAGTACATAATAATAGTTTAATGAGATAAGAGAAAAGTTATCGATTTTCATACCTTCCACCCTTTTGGAATTGTGTAGCCTCCGTAATGGACGTCTGTAGCAAGCTCTCTAAACCCTCCAAGGGCAGGTGGTCTAAGTCTCATTGTTTCACAAACCACATTCCACGAGTACTTCATTCTCTGAATATCTTTCCAACTCAGTAGCTCCCCTTTTTCTTTTGATTGAGCAATCTCCAATTGTTCTAACGAGCGATCATGTAGCAAATCAATAAGGAAATAAATACATTAATTAAGCCTGAGATGGTTACATGCCTAAGATTATTTATAGATGCATGAGAACGAACAACTAGGTCGGTGCAATTTAGACGATAAAATAAGCTATCTTTGACTTTGCAGTTAATTATCCTATATCAAATTAAAAGTTATAAATTGGTGATTGAACTAAGAATTACATAATCTTTACTCAATCTAGAAGTTTGATTTTATGGTTGTATGACATGTTCGACAGCAGCTTTTGGTACGTGTACTTTAAAATACGGAGGTTTAATATTTATTATCTATTATTGACAAGGGTTAGTAAAGAGTACCTTGTAAAACTTTTGCGTACACATCAGGATATTCAGCAAGATGAGCCATTAAGAATGTAATGGTGTTGCCTGTAGTATGGAAAGCAGCAAACAAGAATGCTATAATCTTGCCAACTAACTCCATCTCACTTATAATGTCACCGCCTTCAATTGATGCCCTAAGCAAACCACCCAAGAAATCAAGACCATCAAAATTCACATAATCTTTCTTTGCTAAGACCTCCATTTTTCTTTTTCTAACTAATTCTAGTAATTTTTCTCTTACAACTTTCGATGCGTTAATAGCACGGTTGTATGTGGTACCCGGAAGATTTATAGGCACTGACATAAGCCCCTTGACCAAGTTATTGTAGGGCGTAGCCAATTCTTTCACTTGATCACTATCATAGATGTTCAAAACCAAATGGCAAAACAAGAAAATAGTAAACTCTTTCGATAGTGGTAGAACTTTTACTTCCTTAAAAGGCATCCAATGCATCTCTAAATGCTCGCGAACCTTAGTATCCATAATTGGCACGTAATGTTGCATCGACTCGAGCCTAAGAAACTTATGTAGTTGCTCGTCGAATAGTTTCCATGGTGGGGAGTTAGAGTCAATGTTTGTTAAACCTAGGATATCTATAACCGTACGTGGAAGCCACATCTTGAATTTTGAATCATTTGAATGAATGAACTTGTTACCCGAGGCACCACAAAAAATGGCCATTTTCTCCCCTGCTAACGACGTTTGGAAAATGTCACGAGAGTGCATCTTCATTCGATCACTTATAAATTTAGCCGGATTTGGGATGTAACTCAAGGTTTCTCCGAGTATCGGCCACCCAGTATTACCTGGTGGAAGCCTTGAGCTTGGACGGGAGTTTATGTTACGGAAAACAAGTATGGAGAAGATTGTTAAAGCAACGCTTAACAAAATGGTGAAAGCCATCTATGAATAGTTGCGATCTTCTTGTAAAAGTTGAGGAAAATGAGTACATGCATGCATGTGATCTACTTGTATCTCTATTATATAAGTGAATTGAAGGAGTGGTTGGGAGGACTGAAAAGTACGTGCCTAACTTGTAGAACGCCTAAAATAACCCTCTGCTTTATTTTTTACTTGGAAAATTTGTGAGCAAGGTCCTTTTATGTACACCTTTATGTGAGAAAGGTCCTTTGAAGAAGAAGAGAAAGAAAAAAAAATAAAAAAAAATAAAAAATAAAAAAAAAGATGTGTTTGAGTTGTGAGGAGGGTCCTTTGACCAATTTCCGACATTGACTTTTTTTTCCGGCCAAAAAATATGTTCCCTTTTTTATTAATTTTTTTTTTCTTTTTTTTCCCTCTTTTTCCTCGTTTTCCCCTTTTCCCTTTAATTTATTTCCCTCCCATATTTCCCCTCATCTCCCTCCTCTGTGTGTTGACGTGACTAGTAACTGCCCATTAATGGCGATTCTTTTATTGTAGAAGAAATTAATGGCAAATTGAAGTGCGGCAGTAGATTATCCGCAATTACAACTCTTCATCATTTCGCGTTGCTAAAATCTTCAAAAACAAAGAGAAAATTCAAGTTGCAAAATTAAACTTCAAATTGACAAAGGGTTTTCACCTTACCTTCTTCGATTAGCCTTGAATTACTTTGAATTGCCTTTAATTTTAATTTCAGGGATTATAAATGAAGTTTTGGGGTTAATTGTATTGAAAATTAGATCATAGGGGGGAAAAGGGGGAAAATGTACGTGAATGATTTAAACATGCACAAGTGTTAAAGGACTATCTTAACCAAAAGTTTAAGCTAATGATTTAAACTCATGATTGATTTATATACTCTATCACGCCTCGTTCGGCTGAAATGTACGTGAATGCATCATGGGCTCCTTCAATTCATACCCAGAGTGAAACATTCCACATGAAAGCTAGTGGTCGGGGTGGATAAGATTTGATCACATGACCTTTGTGTCACATTAGCTCTGACATCATGTTAGATGACTATTTAATTTAAACCAAAATGTTAAACTGATGATTGAAGCCCAACATTGGTTAATATACTCTATCAAGAAAAATATTATTAAAAACAAAAAATTGAAACTAGATTTGAAGTAATCCATCTTTTGTAATGTAAATGTAATTCAGTCAAAAAAGGGACTTTATCAATCTAAAGGACGAAACCAATTAAGTTTCTTATTCAAAAACTCAAAGTGTGAAATAAAACGAAGTATTTAAAATTTATAACACCTAAAAATATTACGATATTACAAGCATCCCTCAAAAATTAAAATCAAGGAGAGAAGAAAATAAAGAGAGAGTTGATAGTGAATTGAGGGTTATTTAAGGTTTAATGCCAAATATTTTTTTATTAGGCGGTCATCGATAAAATTATAAAATATTTTTTAGAAAGTAAAATTAATTGTATTGACGAACTAGGTTTTCGGCATTAATAAAATATTTTGTAAGAGAAATGTAATATTTTTTTTTTGACGGCCTAATCCACTAGTAGTAGTAATACATTATTAATCGTTACTAATTACCGATGACTAAAGAAGCCGTTGATATATTAGATTTTTCCAACGGTCTAGGATAGCTCGAAGATGGTTTTATAGTGTTTTTCAAATTAAGATTTTTGTGCTCTACTATACTACATCTCTTCCAATCCTCTCGTAAACAAACACACTCCATATGTGGAATATTCAAATTAATCTCTATCTTAATTTATGCCAAACCTCTTTTAATTTTTTACTTCAAAGTTCTCTCAACAAAACACCCTTCTTGTCCAATTATATACTTACAATAAAATTCTGATCGATTGTTTACATTAAAGTTTGTATCTACTTCATACAAGTTAAAATATATATACATATAGTACATTTTAAACTAGATCGAATCAATTATTACTCCATACAAATACAATTTTTAGAGAGATAATATATAAGGGGCAGCATACATTTTTAATTTCCCAATAAAATGTAGGTCAAACACCTCATATATCCTTGTAACTCCTCCATTATTTATGATTTAAATAGATCTGATAAAGTATAAAACATATTTCTAGGTCTCAATCATTAGCTTTTAATTTTATTATTAAGATGAGTCTTTAACAAGATCGTTTGTTATGACATCAATTTTTTTTATTTTTTTTTTATTTTTTGGTAGTTTGTACCAGTGAAAAGGACGGAATTTGGCAATATCACGTGAAATGAGTCTACTATATAGTAGGACAATTATTGTCTAATAATATATCGATTCATATGAATTATCACATGCACAAGATATGGGCAAACGATTTTTGATGTAACACTATTATTATTATAATTAAAATAATAATAATAATAATTATATTATTATTATTATTATTATTATTATTATTATTATAAAATAATCTATGCAACATTATTGACGCTGGATTATTAATACTAGTACATCTTTCTGAACTCGGTAATCTATCAATTCAAGATAATTATTCATAACCAAATAAAGTAACCCGACACAATAATTCAGAAGCTTCTAAATTCCAATCCGACTATTGTCGTTCAATCGGCGTATGACAAACTCATCAATTTTCACGTGTACGTAAAATAGTATTAATGTATAGTTCTTCTGTTCCAATAATATTGCAACAAGAATGAAATTACGCATCTTAAAACACGTGTGATATGTTAAATATGTATAATTATATAAGACGAAAAATTTTAAAAAGTTGATATTGTGAAAGTATTTTATGTGACGAATCTAATAAGATCACACATGACTATATTTTACTTAACGTATAAATCATATTATATGGTCAAATAAGAGTGATAAATAGTGCAAAAATCCAATTGTTGCAATAATATTGGAACGGAGGAAGTATGAGGTATTTAGAATAACAACTAGTTAGTGACCCGGGCGATACCCCAAGTCTAATTTTTTTGATGACTGCAGAAGTGTAGATATAGTGATGATTCAAACTTATGAAATTTTTTAAATTATTACTCCGTATTACACAAATTAAGAGATCTTGTATATGACTATAAATTATTATTCCACGTTACCACGATAACCCCAATAATTCTCCTTTTTTTTTCAAACCATTTACTTTAAATAAAATAGAGGAGAACCATTGACATATTATCGCCACGTGTTAAAACATTAAGGCTTTATCAAAGTATCGCAGCAGAAAACCAAACTTAAATCTTCAAAATAATATAATAAAGAAAACCAATAAGCCAAACCTTACAAACTGGAAGCATAAAGGCCCTTATTTAAAACCAAACCAATATTCAAAACCTAAATCATAAATGAAATAACAAAATATAAATAAGTTCGACACAAAGAACGAATACTCTCAATCACACTAATCCCTTGACAATGCGTATGCCAAATCCCTGAACTTCACATCATCAAGCTAACCTGTGCAATACTACTCTCCAATAATACAAGTATAATAATTGGATCATCACAGGGTCATTAAAAGGCGAAGGCCATGACCAAAAGAAAACACACAAAAGCACGCAATTAGCGAAACTGAGTACATACAAGCTACAACGCACCAACCTAGCATGTTACACTAATTAAAATAAATAACATTCAACATGAATTCATTAACCAAGACTCCACACTAAAATAGTTCAATCAACTCAACATACTCACTAACCAATTCCAAACACTTGACTCTTTATATTTAATTTAATTAATTTAATTTGGAGTAAGCAATAGACGAGGTTGTCCAACCCACCAAATCATTTTGGTCCCAAATGACCATTTAAAATAAAAATATAGTGTGATTCAAGAATGGGCGCGACTCCATTATCACAAAGTTAGTCTAAGATCCCATCTAACTTTCATTATAGAATAAAAATGTAAATACCAAAAGAAAAGAAAACATGTTGATCAAACAAGCCTCGAAAAGCCACGGGCTACCACCGTGTACCCCAACCCATAATTGTCAATACTCTAGAAGTGCACGCTTTCCAGAGTTTTATTGCTCATCCATGTTTCACTTTACATGATTACAAGTTTAATTAATAGCCGACTCATTCAAGTAAACCATACATAATAATCATACATATAATTCACTTTTAATCTTATTTAGGACAACGATGATCACATCACAAATAGACCTTTAATTCCTTTAAATTCCAAATTACCAAAATTGTTGAACATAGTCAACCCACCTAGCCATTTCGGCTTAATCCACCTTTACTCAACATACTAACAAATCATGTTTGAGTAATAAATAAAATAATAATAACCTCATGGAATAATTAATAAATTCATTCCATATAAACCATTCAATTTCAATCCTTCAATAATCCAAATGTGGTTAACAAACCAATCCAATAAAAAAAATATGCTTGTATCAACATTCCACACAAACAATTAATCCAATTTAATATTCTTGCATCCATTATTTCATAAAAACATAATCAATTCACCAAAACATGTCTCATAAACATAAGCACATGAATTAATTCAATGTTTAACCAAACAATTTCCATCCAAGAGTTCTCTAGACATGAAACTAAGTTCTTTCCTTTTGGTACCTAAACATGATACTATTTACAACGAAGTAGACATGTACGTACCTCGTGTAAACAATCTTTTGTGCCACTTTTAATCACTTAAAAGTCTCATAGGGAATAATCACTTCCTAGAAAACAACCAACAATCACAAATTAATTCCCAAACTAATTTCCAGCAATATAACTTGATTTAAAACTCCTTAAAACTTCCTTAAAAACATGTTTTTATGCTTAATTAATCATTAGAAATTCAATAGGAACAAAAGCCTCAAATTAATTGATCATTAGAATCCTAAAATCCCAATTTAACTAAATTAAAACCCTAGGTTTTAATATCACAAAATCTGAAAATTTAAACAACATTAAAAATCTAAAATTTATAGTTTAAACCATTAAAATATATAGTTTTGATACTAATTTAATCAATTTCAAACAATTAAAACTAAAACCCAAAACAAATTAACAATTTCAAGCAAAATAAAAGAAAAAAGGAAAGCAAAGAAGGAGGAAGGAGAGGGAGCCACGGTGGGCCACTGGTGCTAGTGAGTTGCCAGCGGCTGGGCGGCGGCAGTTGGCGGCATAAGGTGGTGTTTCAAGTAAAAGGAGAAAAGGAAAAGAAAGAAAGAAAAAGGGAAAAAGAAAAGAAAAAATAAAATAAAGGAAAAGTAAAAGAAATAAAATGAAGAGAAAGGAAATTAGCTGACCTTTTTG